AAGAGTGTGTGTGTGTGTGTGTATATATATATTGTAACCATGGACTATGACTGGGGTCAGACATGAAGTATTCTAGAGAATAACATTGGTATAAATAGCAAGAGAAGCTGAAAAATTTCCATGTAGTAGAGATCCTGAAAAACATAGTCTAACAAATCACTAATTCATATAGTACACCAAGAGCAAGAACAGATAATTTAATGCACACATGCAGGAAACATCTGTTGAGTTTGGGTTTCAAAACACTGAAGTAAAGATTACCACCAGGGTGATGTAGCATAACAAGGCTTAATAAGTCATTATTTGCATGAGCTCAAGGAAAGAATGGATTTGTTTGAAGCAGGAGGATACATTTGGCATCCGAGAGCAATTTAAATTCACCTATTGTCCTTGTTTCGGCTGCGATAAATTTAATTTTCTCTCTAGTAGCTGATATAATGCTGTGGTTTGGATTTAGTATGAGAATAATGTTGACAACACACCGATGTTTTTAGTTGTTGCTAGATAGTTGTAGTGTCTACACTAAGTCAAGGACTTTTCAGCTTCCCACACCCTGCCAGGTGCACAAGGAGCTGGGAGAGCGCAGCCAGGACAGCTGACCCAGACTGGCCAAAGGGATATTCCCCACCATAGAACATCCTGCTCCGGATATAACTGGGGAAGCTAGGTGGGAGCTGGGATTGCTGCTGGGAAACAGACTGGGCATCAGGGTTTTCCCCCCACAGGTAGTGAGAAATTGCATTTGCGCATCATTTTAAAAATTATTATTATTATTATCTTCCCTGGTTATCTTAGTAAACTGTCCTTAACTGAACCCACAAGTTTTTTTTCCATTCTCCTCTCCCTCCTACTGGGGAGGGAGGGGGTAGTGAGCAGCTGCGTGGTGCTTGGCTACTGGCTGGGGTTAAAACTCAACACCTGTGTCACAAGCTATTTCTGAATTTGGAAATTAAAGCGATTGTCGTCTGTGACTTTGAAGAAGCCTAACCAAATCAGAGCATGTGAAACCACATAAAGCTCTCAAGCAGTTGAGGCACACCTCAATTGCTGGTTGTTCAGGTTTTCTTCTGACAGTATGGGCTTCAGCCACCCAGGACCCAGAGGATGTTAGTTCCAGGCAATAATATACATTCCCATCTTGTCCTGCAGTTGTTCCTGCATACTACCACCAAGCTACTGCAGAAATGGTGAGGGCAGCATCTCTAGGGGAGGCGAGAAAGGAAGGGCAGATTTATAGAGGCAACATGTTTGCTAAGGGAGTGAAGGGATGGAGACACTAGGTTTGGGGAAACAGAGAGTCATGACAAGTGCTTCAGGACAAGTGTGGCTGTCAGCCACTTTAACAATTGCCCATTCCTACTAAAAAATGGGACACCAGAGGGAAATCCTGTGGATGTAAGTTCCAACTTGAGCTGTACCTCAGAAAAACACAAAGCCATCCATACTCAAACCGTCCACCTCCTAAGCAACATCATCGCATGTCTGTCAAATAAACAACAAAGGGAGTGCTCTAGCTGCTGGAGGTGGTGATGTTAAAAGTTTGTTGCAAGTTTCTGATACTCAAAACATTCAAATATTAGCATTTAATTTTTAATACAAGTTTTTAACATGTGGCTTATTTCCAAAACTGTGTTGAATCCTACAAAAGTATTTTACGAATACATATTAAGATACTTTAAGACATTATCTCCTTACATACATTAGAGGGTCAGTTTAAAAAAAAAATCATAGAATCATTTAGGTTGGAAAATACTTTTATGATCATCAAGTCCAACCGTTAACCTCACACTGCCAAGTCCACCACTGAACCATTTCCCCAAGCGCCACATCTACACGGCTTTTGAATACCTCCAGGGATGGCGACTCAACCACTTCCCTGGGCAGCCTGTTCTAGTGCCTGACAACTGTTCCAGTTGGTCATGTAAACCAACCCATGATCAAAACCCCCAAAATTCTGCCAGTAACACCAGGCTTGGAGCCAGGTATTGATCTGCTGGCTCTTCCAGCATGTCTTCCCTCATCACTCCCTGCAACTGGAAAGACAGAGAACACTACTATTGCTCCTGATCCCTTAACCAGTTGTCCCAAGGCTCTGAAGTCTCTCTTGATTGCCCTCGGACTTCTTATTGCAACTTCATTGCTGCCTGCCGAAAAAATCAATAATGGATAACAATCTGAGGTCTGTACCAGGGTAGGAAGTTTCCTCATCACATCTTCAACCCAGGCCCCAGGGAGGCAGCAGACTTCCCTAAGAAGTGGGTCAGGTCGGCAAATTGGGCCCTCTGGTCCCTTCAGAAGGGATAGTCTCCTATGACAATGACCCATCTTTTTTTCCTTTATGGAGACGGTTTTGACACAGTGCATAGGCCGACTTAACCTCAGCAATACCTCCAAGCTAGATGAACCATCATCCTTGTCATTGTTTGGTTCCACTTGCAGAGCCTCATATCTATTATGCAAGGGCACCTGGGAAGGTGGAGTAGTCACAGAGGAGACAGGCCTGATGTGCCAGGCAAGAACTTGTCACCATTGTCCCCTATCCCTTAAGTAACTGTGTTCAGTCAAGCAGAGAGAGGATAGCGAATCCTCTGTATCATGCATCCTGTACTAAAATCCTAAATTCTAGTTACAATTTCCTATTCAAAAAATGTGGTGTAAAAAAGGAAATATAATTATGGGAAAAGTGATGTCTTCTAGTACCTTCTTACATAAAAGATTATGAAAGAAGATAGTGGGTTATGCTTCTACTTTTGAAAAGATTTACAAATCCTTGTCAGTGAAGTTTTATCAACTATTCTGTGCTGCAATCTTAACATCATGTTGAAATATATACATTAACTAGAAATGTGAAAAGAAATAGGTGCTTTTGAGCTGACTGAAGTATAACTGAAGAAAAATTTCATATACAACTAAGTAGTACTTGTCTGTCTTTTCCCATCACCACCCCGCCCATCCCTTCTGAATTGGGCTATATGAAGCATCAGTAACACAAGAGATGTATTTTCTGTGCTGTTTGCTTAGGAGGTTTTTTTTAAAAAGCATTTTGGAAATTGGGTTGCAAATCAAAGTGTGTGTTTAAGTTACATTTTTCTCTGCCCTCATAACTCTAATCCATCTGCAAATATATTGTATTCCAAAATTACATTTTCTTTTTTCCTCCCAGATATATGCTGTTGAAACCTTACATGCCAAGTTTCTGCCCTAAATGCATTTTTACAGCCCGATTATAACCCCCTGAAGAGTACAATACTAATTTTACAGTTGTAAAATAGGATCTTATAATGGAAATACTGACTCAACTTCTACTCTAGCATAGTAAATATGTTGACATAATGAAATTAAATTGATACAAGAACTCACACATTAAAATTCCATTGAAAAGCAGCATGTAAAACTAATTGTTTTAATTAGGAACAAAATCATAATAATCCATTGACTATTTCACAACTTTGAAGTGATGTACATCACCACAGGCTTTGGTATTGAGACTAATCTTGTTCCTATTAAATATGCATCAGTAGTCTGAAGGAGGAAATACGAAGCAAAAATCCACACAGCAAGAAGAAATAGTAATGTTCCTCAGCACTGAATAGGGAAGGGATTTTATTCAAGGCTATCAGGCCAAAATGTGCACAGCAAACTAATCAGGTGAGTAACAACACTCCGTTGATGAAATCCTTCCTGTGTGCCTTGCAAAAATTTTGATAGTTAAACAGCTACAAAACACAAGAACGCATGATTCAGAGATATTAAAAAGGCAGACATCACAGGACTGAAGAAGAAACACAAGCAAAACGATTAAAAAAGCCAAGCATTAAAGCAAATAAGGGAAACGCACTTTATAAAAAATACCTTAACTACTTTGTTCGTAAATTTGCAGCACTGCAACTTCAAAATCAATTACACTAGGTGTTGTTTTGCATACCAAATACCCCTCAGAATTTTCTGACCCACTCAGAACACCCATCTTGATTAAACCAATACAAGAACAACATCCAGTGATATACTGGAAACATTGACTGGCTCCATGACTTCTTTGCAACTAAAGTATAGTAAATTGCAAAATGGTTTTAATGCTCTCCTGTACGCCTAAGTGTAATGAACACATTAGAAACCTTTCTACTGCTTGACATCTTATTCAGTCAACTGCATTCATGCAAGTTGAATATAAAGTAGAATCTTTCCAAGTTGCTGAAACCCATGCAGCACAAGTGCAAACATTAGACACTCATGCTTTTATTTTACTGTGAACTATGCAATCTGTATAAAACTAAAAAACCCCTTAGTGATCTTTCAATATTCTGAATCCTTTTCCAAATGACAATATTTTTTCTTCCTTGTGCACATAAGGATGTTGGCAATAAGAACCAATTCACAAAACAACTTCCACTTTCTGCTCCCAATCACCTCTATGTACATTGCAGCACTCTGAAAAGATTCGAGTTACATCCTTAACAACAAGTTAAAAGACTATGTTCTACAGGACACAAATGTTTTGAAACATTGGAAATAAAACTGTAATCCAATAAAAAGGACTCCCTGGTCACTACTAATACAAACATT